TATCCTACCTTGGTGAGGCTGTTTGGCTGTGAGCACCAGCATGCACCAGCCCCTCGCGCTCCCACGCCCACGGATGCCTGCCAAAAAAATGAGGATGACCTTATCCAAGCTCCGCACCTTGGCTGACCTGGTCCTGCAGCAGCTCGAGGAGGAACGGCAGTTTTTTCACGGCTGTGGAAAGACTACTGGACGTATTCACCCCAAAAAGTATCCAACAATTCGGTAGTTGTGGAGATTGTGATCGATTGTGTGACCACCGCTGGAGGGATTTGCAACCAATGTTCCAAATGGATAAGTTTCACTCTCTTCTTCATGTACCTTAGCAACCCTTAGTACATAGTCGTGCTGACTTTGGGACCCAAAGCATGCCCAACCCGGATTTCTGACACCAACCCTTTGTAACCTGCAATGACATTGCAGGCAAGTACCCTTTCTAATCCGCCAAGCATGTACTTTGTAGCTTTAGGACAGTTCGGTGGTTAGGTGCCGTCCTAGTGAGGCTTCGCAATTGTACCCCTCTAATCAACGACATTGTTGGTTGTCACATTTCTTTGTCAGTGACATGATCCCATTGATTATGTTCAGGAGACGGTGTCAAAAATGCTGACTTCGTCTTGGATCCTGTGTTCCATTCATCCCTCTCCAGGATCTGGCCCTGGAGCCTATAGACATTGACTTCGAGGGGTCTGGTCATTCAGACGCCTGGTGGCACGTGGCCGCCGAAGCACGATGCCCACAATTGTCCGACCACAAACTCACATTGATTCATATGGAGTCCGGCCAAAAGTCTATAATCAAAGAATTTAGACAAAGGGGTCGAAAGTAGTTTATGATGTTTTTTTTTTTCAATTAGATTATGTAGCGGGCCCCCAGCTAAACACACCTACTCTGCAGCTGGGCGCTAGGTTTGCGGCAGAACGCCGTCAGGTTTTGAAAAGTGGCTGGCTAAAAAATGCGCTAGCCGCGCGCTAGCACTGCGCTAGATCCGCGCTAGCAAACATTGCATAACATTGCCAGACTCCAGCATGGACCCTTCCAAGGCTGACTTGCAACACGTCTTTTGTTTCCAAAATTGCTTGAAAAGGCACATCAGACAGCAATGGTTCAACTTCCTCGGAGAGCAGCTGACACCTTCCACAATTTGGTGCCAAGACTTGTTTGGTCATTGTTTCCTTGATTAACCAGCTGTGTGTGCGTGTGCCAAAAGTAAAGAATATGTAGCGGGCCCCCATGTGAACACGACATTCAGCCATTCTTGGAAGAAAACCGTTTGACCAGATCCCATATAGTAAATCTTCCAAGCGTTCCACACATTGCAACCACGAATCTTGCTGACTTTGTCTCACGCTCAACTTCCCTCCTTGTCTTTCCTTTTGCCCTCTCACGTCCAACAACTGCTTGGAACACAAGTTCATGCAGTTCACGATGTTTTGCCCATCTTGGAGGCTGGCACACCTGTGCTATCCTGCCATTCTTCACATCCATCATCCATTGATATTGTCTTTGGTCAACGGGGCGCACCCCGAACGCCCCCAGGCTTCGGCACTCGAGCCCAGCCCGTCGATCGCGGCCTTCTGGGCGGGCGACGACTTGACCGGCTCTGCCTCGCTGTCGCCCGCCTCGCCGACCTCGCCGGCGGCCTCGGGGTCATTCGCGCCGTGGTCGGCGACACGGCGAAGTCGGGTGGAGGGGAGCAAGGGAATTGGGGTCGTAGACCACATTTAAGACTGAGAACATCTGAGAACTGGAGAGCCTTTTCAAATTAAAAATTGATTTGGAAAGAGTGTGGGGATTGGAAAGGCTACTGTGACCATGAAGCCAAAGAGATTCAGGAACCAGAGAAATAGATCTACTATGATCTACTTCCGCAGTGGATTCAACCAACTACAGTTCAAAGGTTGCCTTCAGTACGGATATGTATTAGTATCTATATATCAATAAATATACAGGCACCCGCTTGTGTAGCCAAACGCTGTTGCTTTTTCAAAAGACATGTTTAACAGCAACCGGCAGTTTGTACGGGCATTTTGAAAATAAGTCGCTTGACACTGGTGGCCAAGTCTCAGAGCTTTGGAGGCCAATGTTGTAAGGATGCCAATGGAAGCATCGTTACTCCCAAGAACATGATTGACACTTACCGGCCCGACCCAACAAACCACCCCACATTTTCAGGCGTGTCGCCACCCTCAGGCCCTGAAATCCAACGCCCACCGAACAACTCAGGAGGGCGAGGACCCCTCTGAGCGGAGGGACTCGGGCGCTTCGGAGGGTGGGGCGGGTGGCACTCGGGCGCCACGGAAGAAGGGCGGCCACTTGGACTATGCGAGTCCCGCGCATGGCCACGGGAATCACCCGAAAAAACGGGAGAGGGCGGAGTGTTTTTTGGGGGGGGGGCATGCGGTATGAGATGATGTGAGGAATGAGTTCTCCCAAGGCTTTGCCAGGGTGAGGCTTGAAGTGGTGCAAATCTTGCAGATTCCTGTGATACCTCAAGACCTGCAAACCCAGCGGATCTAGGTTTGTTTTTGTACATGTTTGCTGTTTCACTGGGTTTGACTTTGGTGCGCGAAATGTGAAACCCTAAAGCCTAAAGCTGCTTGAAAATTGAGGCCTCTTCTTCCTGGCCAAGAAGGGGGCCCTGGAACAAGACAATACCGAAGGAACCACTTGACTCGACCTACTCCGATGACCCCAGTACATTGAAAGATTTTCACCAACTGTTGCCAGTCCTTGGGCTGCGACTCCAACCCAAGCATATTAATTTGGATAGGGACTGCTTACAGTAATATTATTGTTGGTACTATATATGTGAATATGAACACATTTATATTGACGTGCGGTGTCATTTCAAGCAGTTGACCGATGAAGGGGATGAGCTAGACCACTGATCAGTGGAAGGACATTTGGCAATGCTGAGGTTTCTCCCAACCAGAGAGATTAATTCAACTCCCTGCTTGGAACATAGATGCACTATGATGCACTACTATCCCTACCAACAGCTCTATGTCAGTCTCTATGTCTATATATAAATGATATATATATATTTATATAAGTATATTATACATTATTATACAGTATATGTAACAACCAGTTCCCCATCATTCCCTCTATCATCAATGAGCTGGTGGTATGAAGCGCTTGCCCTGAGATGTGGATGGCTGGCTGGTCGATCGAGTCGTGTGGAGCTGTTTGGGCGACGCACTGAGCCCTCCTTTGGCTCCGATCAGATCGGGGCCCTGCTAAGGCAAGAAGAAGACCATGTCCAAGTCCACCAAGAGCCGTGGCGCTGCGAGATCTGCGAGTGGCCTCCTTGTGGACCTGCTAGTCGGGCGGAATACGAAGACCACAGCTCAGAGCTCCCAAACCTTTTGCGTATAAGTCGCAAAACAAAGGATTCATCACTGAACCCGTCATCCTGTGGCAGGCAACCCACTCACTTTTGTGGTGCAGAGAGACATGCATGTTCAGTGCTCAAAAGGTTGCCCTCATCATCACGTGTTCGGGGGTTCCTGAACACGGCTTCACACTAGACCGCACAACAGCTATAGATTATGCAACAAGATGAGAGCTAGCATTTGGATCTAAGTAGAAGCTGCTTGGTGACATGAGCATTTTTCGTTGGATCAGATGCTTGATGCTTCACCCGAAGCCTTGTATGTCACGGGTGGATCCATCCGTCACGGTATGTCACCGGGAGGTCGCAGGGGTTCACCACTTGCTGCTCCGGTCGTGTGATGGTCACTGGATGGAGCCGTCGAATGGACAACACGTGCTGCTTCCGACCTGCAAGGGCAATGTAGTTGCAGGGTTTCGGGGTGTCGTCCATCAGGTTGACAACAGGAAGTTGATGGATCCCCCATGCGATTATGGGAAAAACACATCCCGTCCCCAATTCAATTATTGGAACTTTGTCACGGAAGCCTTTCTACCACCCCTATCGGGCCCAATGGGGGCCAGTGAATTGGGTGGTTAAAGATGGTGAGAATGACCCTCTGGAGACATGCCCCGGCCTGCCGTCATGCAAACGAAGTATCTTAATATAATATATTGTATTATATTATGTTATGTTATATTATATTATATTATTATGCTATATTATATTTTAATGTTATATTACATTATACTATATATATATATCTCTCGCCGATGCTTCACTGCTTCATGAGTTGTCCAGCAAAACCTGGCACCACCAAGGAGTGTCGGAGGGAAGAAGTGAGGACAGCCAGACAAGTATTGGCCACAGAGCGGCAGAGTCAGCTGCTGTGGATCATGGGAGCAGTGACCAAAGAAAGAGATACCTGTGGCCTGTGGCACCATATCCATGGAGGATGTTGATGGATTTAGGAGATAGATTTGAACATGGACGATTCAGGCATGCGATTTAGATCGACTTGGTATGTTGTCACTTGCATGGGGGTGAGAACAGCCAGGGCTGACTTCTGAGTCCAAAGCATCCTAGAGAATTTGATGAGTGTTTGCAAGTGGATTATATGGTATGTTGGTCATTGACGCAGGCCACTTCGAGTGGTTTCGTCATTATCCATCCGCATCCTTTCCCGCTTGGATCTCGTTGGTCCTTCACCAAACATATGGGGTCACTGGTCCTTGAGAAGAGCCTCTGCCGTCGACGCAGTTTGTACATATCGAGCTGGCCTGGGAGGTCGTGGCAACTCATGCCGCAGCACCTGCCGCAACTCGGGACCGACGGCAGCGAGCCACGACGAGCATCACTGAGCCAAAACGACTCGGTGAGATCTTGAAAGCGCCTGGGAAAAGAAGTGGTGTTGGGTACGGCGGTAGAAACTCTAAGAAACGGCCCTGGAGTCGAACTGGCTGTGGCAACAGCCTCTTTGATATGCACTGGACAAGGAGGCAGTGGTTTGGATGAGAGGGTTTACTATTTAATAACTCATTTTACCTCACACTTCAACTGGATTTCTTGGCACGGCCTCTTTTCCATTTCCACCAAGCAGCTGAAGTGACCGCACCGCCCCCTTGAGGTTTGGGTGCTTTCAAGTTCGCGGCTACCAAGGGGGATCAGGTACAAAACAGCAGCCGCTGGGAATGCGGAGCTTGGGGCGAACTGTCCTGTGCGAACTGTCCTGTGGGAACTGTGATGACCTTTTCGGGACACGGATGTGGCCCTATATGTTTAGGAGGCAGGTGACCTTCTGCAAGTCGAAACTCAAGCAGTTTGGCAGCAACGGGCTCCAATCAACATGTATACCATGGTCAGCGTTCAAGAAGAACCATAGAAGAACAATTCCATTTTAAAATCATTTGATCTGAAGAAAAGGAGGGCCTCTCTCCACCCCTCAACTTTATTTGTTCCAGGGTCTGCTATAGGTACGAGAGTGCCATGAGAGGTGGATTTGTCGCCATTTCATTCTTTTGGACGAACTGAATTGGCTTGCTGGCTGCTTCTCATTTTTGCACTTCTATACGTATGCCTCGTGTGTTTGGCTGAGCCGCTCGTCCCTTTCGTTTTAAGACGGTCACTCTAGACTTTCTCTGGCACATGCCATCCACATGTTGGACGTCGGTCGTTGGATCGGTTTCTGGTCGGACCGATCTCGTGGATCGATCCACGGCGGTCGGGCTCACGGACGACGGAAGAAGGCAGCTGGACTCATCGTTGCCCCGGGAGGAAGACCAAACCATGGACCACGGATGACCCCGGAAATGCATGGACGCTACGATTCAACAAGAACATGAGATCCGGTCAATCCTGGAGAATCCGGGATGCGGCTCCTTAGGCAGGGGTCGGGGTTTCCCGGTGGCCGTTTCCTGTCGCGTTCGATCGCGCTCGGGATGACCGTTGGCCAGGTCTGGCGTACTTGGCCAAAGCTGCCTCGAGCGCCATGGGGACGAGACAGGACTGGAAAGTCAAGGTCTTCAAATGTCGGTCTGTCGGAGGGTACCCAAGTCCCGCTCTTTTTTCTTTTGGCCGGTTCTCTTTTGTGGTTCAATATCGGCTCGATGGTGGATGTATATGCATCACATTGATGCACGTCTGTTTCACCACGGGTGTTTGTGCCGTGAACCTGTGGGACTCTTCGGGATTCCTGCGATGCACCCTAGGGTGAGCATGGGTGAAGGTGTGATAGCCTTGAAGAAATATAGAGGATACAAGTGCGCGGCCTCTTCTCGCTGGGACTTGCGATTTGATTTACTGAATAACTATTATAGCTTACGTTAACCTTGCATCTACTCCTCATTCGAACAGAGATCAATGTGCATTGCATGCCGGCCTCACCAACGGCTGCAACCTGTGTGCAGCCTGGGCAAATCACCACCAACCAAGATGCACTCCACTCCTATATCTAAACTCCCTTTCCTTGTTTTCTGTCAACTTGTACCTATTTCATCCTATTTCTATGTCTTTGTCCCCGCGATATCGTATCCCAATTCTCCCAGCCTCCATGACACATGCGCAAAAAAGCGCCGGGACCACCGCGCGTTCACCGGTGGAGGAGAAGGTGAAGGACTGGTGGATCCATCCACGCATCGAGCGCCACCGCTCGGTGTCACCGGTGTCGGTCGTTGTGCTTGGCCCGAGTCGAGCGAGCAAAACCCAGTCGAAGCGTTGGTTGGACATGGCAGGGACACCACAGAGATCACACGTCCTCAGCCTCCCAGTATAATTATGCCAGAGTCTTTATCTTCATCTTTCCAAGAGCAAGGCCAGCTGACTTGAAGAAATCAAGGAGGGGTAGAGGGCCGATGTACACGAAAGCAAGGATCCCCCAGATCGAGCATTGGCCACATGCCTTGCGTCCGCCGAAACAGCCGTTCAAGTATACTACCCCAAAGACCCAGTACCATCCACCATCCCGGTGCAAATCGCAATAACCCAGCCCTCCACACCAAAGACATGGAAGGTTTCTAAGCCATCTCGAAAAGCATGAACTTGCCACCAAAAAACGTCAAGCCTCCTGCCCCACACCCTTCCTGATCTCCAGCTCCCCACCCCTGCGGCCGCCTGCGGCCCGCAGCGCAGCTGAGGTTCTCTGCACCGGTGAGTCGCATCGGCGTGAGGCTCCAAGACATGACCAGCGGCGAGCTGCGCGGCGGCCCGGTGAGCCGCGTGAGGCCGCGTGCGCGGTCCGGTGCGGCTTCGCGGCTTTTGATTTGGAAGACGTGGGAGGAGGTGTGGCGGGCCAGCCAGCGGGCAAAGCATGCGAAAAGGAATCCAGTGGCGGGCCAGTCAGCTCCGCAAAAGAACCAGGAGATGTAGGTCGACTTTTCGCACAGGATAAAACATGATAAAACCACGCACCATCGAAAATGAGTCTCAAGTTGAAATGGAAGGACCTTTCAATCACCGCGATCCCCGGATCAATCCGTTTGGGACAGAATATTCCAGCATGAGCCATGAGCTTTATTCAAGGCTTTCGAGCCTTGACGAGTGAGTTGCTGCATTTGACCACTCAGGCGGTGGGACGCCATCTACGACCTGGGGAAGGTGCGGAGTGCGGTGCAAGGACCCGACGCTGCGGCATCTTCAGCTTCAGAAAACGATAAAACTTGTCAAAAAGCAGCATTGTTCAGTTTTGCTATGTATATTTCATGTTGTCGTCCATGATTTGGGGGGGCCCTGATATTTCTTGGACAGGGATGCCAAAAGGTTATGAGTTTGGGCTCGTTCACACGCTCCAAAAACCAGTGGCATCCTTCCACCCAATTTTGCAAAGCCCCAAACTTTTCAATCCCTTTACTGACCTCCGAATGACCGGAGGAGAACAGCTGTTGATTGACGCTGTAGAGCCCCCATATGGCAATATGGAGATGATTGGAGATGTTTTACCAGCCACGTTATCTTATTCGGACGTATTTCGGACGTATCGGTAAACATATGTATCTTTGTACGATTTTGTACATATATATTTTGCATGTTTGTTTCGCACGAGGAGGCCGGAGAATATGTAGCTCAAAGCGGTGGCAAGCCTCCGCCACTCCGCCCACGTTTTTGGGAATTTCCAGCTCATCCTTTGGGCGACAAGGGAGTCAATGCAAGCGAAGCATTGGCAACAGGCACATGTTAAGCAATGTTAAGCATAGTTACATACTTACTATAGCTTTATCATATACAATCCACCAACATATTCACACATACACACATTACACCATAATATACTTGCCTATGCCAGCGCAAGGTGCATAAGAGAACAAGCAAAATACTAAGCCCAATGATGATCTACCATGATCTACCCACACCCAGGTAGTTATAGTTAGTTGACAAAGAGATGGATTCTAGATTGACCTTGCCCAACTGGTTTGACTTGGTGGAGCAGATCTAGTTCGTCATGTGTGTGGAACCTACTCAATATTTGATGGCTAGTTCGTTGTCCCACGGAAATTGCCTATCCATGGCCAGTTGCATGCTAATACTCTCAGGCATTATACGGACTTTCCTGGAGAGGGCAACTCAGGAGCCCCAGCGTGATGATGCATCCCACTGCCCGGTTTCCTCTCGAAAAGTCTACCGCGAACGCTGTCCCCTTGGCTAGGCATCTTGGAAGAAGCGCGACCCCCTCAAGGTGGAAAAAGGGAAGAAGCGGTTTGCAAGATGCCGCAATCAGATTGATCAAATCAAACGCCTGGAGTGAGAAGCCTTGCATGGTCTTGTATGGCAAGCATTACTTAGTGGCTAGGCACTTCCTTCAGAAACCTTGAGAAATATGTACAAGTACTTGTAAAGTGAGGGAGAGCTGGAGAACAGCGACCAGACCTGTCAACATTCTCCACTCCTGGAAGGCTTGCACGCACCCCGTCTCTATCTGAGAATCACGCTTGAAAGCTAGAAAGCCAGTTTAGCCGTGGGCAAACTAGTGGGTGTCATGCGACATGCGACAAGCAAAAACACTAATACATACATATACTAGTGCATAATATACTAATATGATTGGGTTCGGGCGAGTTCAGGCTTCACATGCTTCCGGTAAGTCAGTGAACTACGCCAAACCTGACAGTCACCCACTTCGATGCAGGAGAAGACGTGTCCGGAAGATGGGTGGCACCTGTGCGAAGACGTCACGGGGCCCAAGACGCGAAGACGTCCTGGGTTCACCTTCTTATGGGGGGGCATTTTTTGGCCCCAAGCACTCAAAGCACTCCAAGAGGAAACAATCCGTAAAATTCGGTGAACAGTTCGGATACATGTTAGGAAACGGAGGGGGTCAATGGCCTGGCACGTCCCGGAACGGGACATGGATGGGTCGAGGCGGTCCCGCTCACGGGCCCATGACACTCACCTGGACTTGAACCTGCATCGCTTGCATGCTTCTTTTTCTTTTTTGAGTTGGGCACTGAGTTGGAAGAGTTGATTTGGAAGTGGTTGGAGGTTGCGGTTGATTAGGGAAGGCAAGGGGGTGGTGAACCACCTTTATGTTTGTTTGCTTTCGTTTGGGTTCCTCCACATTCCTTCCTTCGCCGGCAGTGACAGGGCGAACTTGACTTCCATCTCTTTGGATTGTCCCCTGTTCCGCTCCATCCGGGCGCTACGAACGTAGCTCCTGGCATCGCTACGTTTGGAACAAGAAGCTACTTGTAACAAATGGCATCGCTACTAGTAGCAAGAAGCTACTCAAAGCCCGAGGCAATTTCTAGACTCCTAGACCATGCCTTTTTAGGACATGGGATTTGAAGCAAGATTCTTGAGAGGGTTGCAACATGTTGCAACATTGGATTTGGTGGAAGTTTCTACTGCTCCAACCCAGATTTTGACCAAAGGGGTCTTGGGTCCTAATGTTGTGCAAGAGCCGGCCCTGGAAGCCTGTTCTGCAGGAGGACCCGGTGGGAGGCGAAAAGCCCTTCTTCCAGCCAGACTGGTGTCCGGGCCCGTCCCTTATGGCCTGTGCTTGATGTGACTGATTCTGTCGATGGAGGGATGGGCTGCATTTCACCCAGCTGGCCTATGAGTTGATGGATAGGTTCTCCCATTTCATCCTTTTTGCTTTTGCCACAGGGTGCCAGGGTTCGATCTAATAAGCTAGACCGGATGGCCCCAGCAGTTACAGTGGGCCATCAGAGTAGATGGCCACCCACCTTTTGGAGATTGTGCCATCTACTCTCAATCCACTGTAGGACCATGGAAAAGCTGCTTCCGGACGTGTGTGGAACAACACCAAAAGATATGCCCAAGATTGCACATTCAATATATAGAATTAGGTGCAGTTGTTTTTTAGACCACCTGTGGGAGTGGAACAATTCACCCCCACCAGGTCTAAAGGCTTCTAATTAGCCATCCAAGTTCGCGCGACAGGAATGACGGCATTTCCCACAAGTGCTCCCTTGTTCAGAGTCATTTAATTCCTTGAGAGTTTCCCACTCACTTGTGTAGAAAGTCAGCAAACGGCCTGCATAGTGCTATTCTTTTGTTTTGGTGTGGGTGTACTGGCAAGCCTGGGGGCAATTCTTGCTTCGGAACATGGATAATACCTCGGTCTTACCAAAGAGTGTTTTCTTTTTTGCCAGTTGGCCAAGCGAAAACTGAGCACAACAGAGGTTCCAATCTGTGTAGGAGTATTGCTGGATGATCTTTTTGCACAAATGGATGACATGTTCAGCTTGTTTCAGCATGTTTCAGCTTAGGCATGCTTAGGCTGTTTTTGACGCTCGCAATCGTTTTGACCAGCAGGTACTTGCTCACCATCAAGAACCTCAGCCAAAGGGACTCGCCAGAACAGCCCCTGGTCGGTGAGGCGGGCGTCACCCACCCGGCTCGGGGGCTCGGTGGAAACGTCAGGCGTCCGCCTTTGTCCCTGTGCTCGAGAACACTAGGTACAGGAACAGCCAGAAACTTCGAAGCTTGCAGATGTTGCGCCGTGGTCCTAGACCTCCATACATCTCCATACAAATATGCAAGAGAGAAACTGTTCCTCTCAAACCATCGATGCTCCTTGGTTAGACGAAGAGGCACGAGTGGCTTTCGGCCTCGAACTGTTCTGAGGACATGCCTGCAGGTCTTGGGTCTTTTGGAGCCGCCGTTTCGGTGTTTCACTTGGTTTGGGGTTTCGTCAACTGCAAAGCCATGGGAATTCAATACCCACGATGACATCATTCTCCGACACTTCGTTGGAGTTTTGTGTCATGGCCATGGTATAGCCGGAAGTTGGAGCCGGTGTTCCAATTGTGACCGTTTGCAGATGCTTTTCACCCAGTATGGCATCAATCAGCTGGACAACACGTGACCGGCTGCAGGGCAGGTCATTGCCATACTGTAGGCCCGAGGCATAGTGCTTGGGAAATCTTTCTTGGGCCTTAGTTGGGTTTATCATGGTTTTCTATGTTTGAATCGATCCCATCAAAAATAGCTGTAGTATGTCGTAGTGGTCACCGTGGGACTTGGATCGGAAATAAACAAATCATGACAAGTTCAAGCCAGTTCCGGCCACTCAACCGGAGTGCTCAGCGATGGCAGCCACCCAAATCCCTTGTTTTGTTGAGGGAACGGTCAGTCTTGGCCTTGTCAGAGGCATCACCCACTCTGGAAAACGGCCATGTGATTCAGCATGTTTCATGAGTTCTTGCCAAGTGTTATTTGGCATTTGCCTCTTTGGCCCCATGGCCCTTTGGTCTGCCGAGAAGCCGCTTTTTCCCCCCCCAACATGTTCAGGTCTGGATCGGCATTCAAAGCCTGTTCGACCCGTCCGAATCGTCAGACGACCCTTTCGGCTCCGAACTCGTCCGTTCGGGCGATCCGGCGCATCTCCGGACCGTTCTGAACGGCGCGCGCGGGGTTCGGCACCGTTGGTGGAGGTACTCCTTCGAGATGCATGCGCCGCTGTCGGCGGAAGACCAGAGCCTCTTGGAGTCATCCAGAGGAGAGGATAACAGAGGGATGCTTCCCATGCCCACGGGCATGGCGTTTTACATTTTTTGCATCATCAAGACACAATGCGTCAATATAATTTTCGCTTCTTGTGGCCATGGGTTTGCTGCCATCAGGATTTCCCGGGGGATGAAATGGTTTACATGACTGGGGGATGGTGAGGCTATTCCATAGTATTCCGTGACCATTCCGAGACTGGTGGAGATTGAACAGTGCACCTACCTTGGACCTCATGTCAAAAAGCAGCAATGCCGGTCCGGATTGGGAGGGGAGTTGGGAACTGAAGCGAGACTCTTGCAGGGATGAACAGCTCAGCATATATAAATACAAAGGATGCCCGGATAGCTCACAAAATGGTGAGCTCTTACGAACAATATATTATGTGGACAAGGTTCTGACCAAAAGAGAACGGAAGGATGTGTTTTGGTCCAGGTAGGAAGATCAACTTCGAAAAGGCTGTGGCGTGCAAGGAGTAGGTGGTTTCCCAAAGTTAAACAGGAAGAGGAGAAGTCAAAGAAGAACTCGTCTGACAGCTTGCAATGGACTGGTTCCAACATTTGTTGTGTCCAGCTCTCAGGGTGTTCATCCTTAAACGACAGAGCGTTGTTCATCCTCTATCCCAAGTTTCCTGAGTGGATGCCTTTGAGCACACTGAGCCTTGCTGTTTGGATAAGGCAAGTGTCCTTCCCGGATCCAAAACCTCCCTACATTCTGGAAGGCAAGCTGCCCCTTAGGTTTCGTTGTTGCAGCATTTGTTTGTCAATTTGGCTTCTGCTATTCAGACCCTCTCTCTCTCTCTCAAAAAAGACCGTTGCGCGCCACTGTGCGCCCTTTGATGAGCAACTCAAATGGTGAGGGGGTCACACCATACCGTGCCTTGCCACCTCTTGCCACGTGGCCCAGACAAATTCAACGAGATCCAAGGCCGCGTCAGCTTGCGCGCGCACCGGGAGGGGGGTTGCGAGCCTTTCACTCCAAAAATAAAGGCGGCGGTGAGCCTTTCCTTCCCCCGGTGTTTGCACTGTTGTGTCTGCTGTGTTTGGCATCAGGTTCCCCTCAATTTGCCTGGCCACGCAAAGGTCTCCATGGCAGACCAATGGATTTCCAGTAGACCTCGTCAAACTTGTAGCCGGTCAAGTCATGTGCCACACACACCTCGATGATCCTCAATGCCTCCAGTTCTGCCACGACATCGGAGCGTGGGCCGCCACAGACGTGGTCGGTGGCGTGTCCATCCAGGCGCGTCTTCGCTGTGTTGAGGCATGCGAAAGGCTGGCCCACTCAGTCGTGCCACTGGCCGTGGTGGCAGCCCGGAAGGCTTGGCCATGGAGGCTGGCCGTGGCAAGGCGCGGACATCTTTGGGGAGAGCGCACACAGTTCATGAGGCTTGAAGGCAGTTGATCAGCTCTTTTAGATTAACTTGTTTCATGAACCTATATGGGATTGTATTTGTTTGGCTTGTACTTCCTGATGTAGTGGTTGGAAGTTCGACTTCAGCGATTCATACCCCCGAATCATACCCCTCAAAAAGCAGGTGTAAGAACTAGGTGTTAAGGTGAAGCCTTGTAGATGTCCATGACCCAATGGTGCATGATGTTTGCAATCTTGTGAGCCACAGGCATTCAATTTGGCCAGAATTGTTTGTCTTCTTGTGGGAAGAGTAAAGGCTCCTATCCTCGAACCATCCCCCCGAATCATACACTCAAATTTTACCACCTATTCGAACTTCGGCCCGACTACGGAAAAAAGATCACACGCATATTGCAGATGCTGAAAGGTTGGCAGTACATGTCCAATTACATTTGGGCACACATGCTGGTGATGTTCATTCAAATCCTTCTTCTTTTGCCACAGGTGCCAGACAAGGCAGACCTGCTGGAGCAGGCTACAGGTGTTCAAGTGCCCCAGGCGCCGAGACTAATTGGGACTCCACATGTGTATTGGGTGGGGAGGCACACGATTCCGGTGGTATACAAAGAGAGCAATGACACTTTGATGACAAACCTGTTCACGCAATGTTGTGTGCTGTATACACACAATGGTTGGGCTCGCTGCGCCTGACGATGTTGGCAACCCAGACTTTCGAGAGACGGTCCACCCAAAATAGAACTCCTCGTGCCAGTACTAGTACTAGTACCACTACTACTTCTTCTTCTACTACTACTGATGCTACTGCTCGGCCTGCAGGGCGGGTCCGCTGCTGACATCGCGCCTTGGGCTGCATGATAGACCCTTTGGGGTACAGGCTTTAGATGTGGGGCTGCGGGCGCTGTAGCCACAGATGCAACTAGATTCAATTGGCCAATGGCTGGTCATTGCAAACGCAGGCATGGAGAGGATGCCTGTAAAAAGGCCAGAGTAGCTGGCACCACTGTCAACCCACCATTTTTGCCTCGGAGCCGGTAGATGTCCCCTTATACCACGCAGTCCGCCTTTAGGAGTTGTTTCAGCGGCATTGGTTGATGTCGGCCGCTTGTAGCATTCCAAGATGCATCATTGCGTGTCTTACTTGAGCAACGGACGAAATGATGGTGAAACTACAGACGGCAGAGCATTTGATAAACATGTGGATTTTCTGTATACTGTATAAGTAGCGATAAGGTTCAACCCTACCGATACCCACTTCACTGAAAGATGGATTATCTAGAGACTAGGTTATTTCATTCTGGAAGTGGTCCATGCAAGCAGATTTGTTCGCCACTCATGTGTGTGTGTGTGTCATCGTATCACACACACACACACACGTATGATAGAATGTGTTGTATAATGACAGAATATTTCACAGCCTCCATGCTGGCATAGCACGAAGCCTGACTTATCAGGCGAAGGGGCAGATGGGCGATAGCGCCTACAGCAAGATCTTGGACAACAGTTCCTTGACTCCGATCGCCTCACCCTTCTGCGCGGCTGGTTGATGTTCTTCAGGTAGCGAGGTCATGTGGTGAGTTTGAAGGCAGGTATACCCTGGCCTTTCAAGACCACGAAAGGAAAGGTTGACCTGGATTTACAGTCTAGAATCATGAGCAAAACAATGGTTGTTTGGTGAAACACCGATGAAGATTTATGGTGGGCCAGGAATCCTAAATAGGGTTTATCAAATCTACAGGTAAGGTTAAGTTTACTCCTGAAGACCTGTGGCTGTGATGGGCAACGTTCGCGCCCCATCACCCAAGCTGGTTGAGCTTCAAATCACGACCTGGCAAGGTCCGACACCATCAAACGCCCATGACTCACTCCCTCAGTGGGGTTTCCGATCTCCGCAGGGTCAAAGCAGTCATGATGGGATTTCTGTGATCAGACCTGTCAGACCTGGCAATGACAACTGCCCGCCCGCCCCTCAGCCTGACCCTCCAGACCCGCGATGGGTGCCGTTTGTGGTGCCGACGATGAGGTGATTTCGCCAAGACTTTGTGAATGGCAAGGTGCTGGATGTGTGCCGATGGGGCGGAGGCGGCGGAGGTTGACAATGCTACCTTCCATTTCAACGAAGTTGACAATGGCTTGTCGGAAGACGATGTTTCTTTGCGAGGGTGGTTCATGTTGTGTTTTGTAGTTCCATGTTTTCTTGGGGGGATGCAAGGGTAGGTGATGGGACCTGCTAGGTTAGAGTCATGCGGACAGGTTGGACAGGTGAGGACATAGACATGGGATATATTTTGGAGTTAGCTCCACAGTCCAAGCCTGGAACTTTTGAAGATTCTGACTTCAGTCACGAAGTTCGCAGAGGTTTCAAGTGTTTGCACTGAGTTCTGCCACCTACAAGCGGTACATGGAACAAACATGGTACTGTGTAGATCTCGGTGGTCGCCGTATCATTAAAAAACTTATGGTTGCCCCAACTGCTGGCTTTAGGTTGTTTTCAGTTCGCAGGATAGAACACACATCCTGGTAGCACAATTGGAAGGTGCAACTGCCAAGCATGTGCCTATTGGACATATCCTTACCTCTCATTGCTTTCCCTGTGCTTTCACAGGTAGAAGGTTAGCGGCACCGTTTGTGGCCATTTACCTCGGAAGGGCGCAGTTGTGGGGTGAAGCAGCCCCCAACAGTGTTCCCTGCCTCTCTCTCACCTCACGAAGATTTGTTTGCAGGTTGCTGGTGGCACTGCGTGCAAGCAGCCGACAAAAATGTCTGTGCAGAGGGAGAGGGTATTGAATTATTGTTCTTCTCCATTCTTTGATGATTGGGGCCGGGCCTTCTTGGTGGCGGGATGCTTTCCTGCCCGGTAAACCAGCTCCTTATTGTGACGGCTGACATCTCTAAGGATTCTAAGGGCACGTCCTGCTGGATGGCCGCGAAGAAGGAAGAAGGGTCCATGCTGAAAGGAAGCACAAAGGCACAGAGTTCCCTTTTGGGTGGCCATTTTCCCAGCGCATGAGAAGTCCTCTTTCACACTGCACACCACTTTGGCAGAGAACTTGCTTGAACAGCTTTGGCTCACCAAAGCCATCCGGGAGCGAGCCGGCATGGGTAGCACATCAATCAAGAGTTTTAACTCTTAACATGTTTAAACTTTCAATGCTTAAGATGCTCAAGCTGCTAAGACTTAAATTATTATATATTATATATCGATATATTATTAATGAAAAAGAGGAACGGAGAGACCTTTCAAGGACATTCCTTTTCCTTGTCCCCAGTTCCCTTGCTGCAGAACAACCTGGCCGGGCTTAGAGCCGGTCTTGCCCGGCTTGCCCAATGCCTTTACGCGCGGGTGATCGGCGACGGACAGGCACGGAGGTTCCACTTTTGACACGAGCAGTTTGCCAACAGCCCGCAGTTGATGGAAGGCATCATGCAGCCACCTTTGGAACTCAAAGGCAATCCAAGACAAATAATTACTGCTGGTTCATCAGATGTGTTTCTGTCTCAGTTTGTGCCGGAGTTCTTACTCCAACAGTAGCATCATGCAGATTGCCAGTTCCTAAGCATTTTGACACTACACGGCCCTAAAGCCAAACATGTCGCCCCCGCAGCTGTTCTGATTTCCAAGAATCCCTGACAGGTTCGTGAGGTGCGCTTTTTTGTTTTTTCTTAACCGCGCACGTGACAGAAAAATATCTGAAATTGTGATTTCCTCAACCGAGTAAAAGTGGCATCGATTAACAGATGCCTTGTTTGGAGAATCCAGTTAATAAGGCAGAAGATGGAGGTGGGTTTATATATACTGTTTATATATATATATATCATTATATTATATATATATGTACTTGGGGCCTTGCCCGATTTTCAGGTTCATAGTTTTTGTTCTCAAGTCACGTAGTGAAGTTGCTCCAGGCGTCCATTTTCTGTCCTTTTGCCTCCTGATTTGGGGCCTCAAGCATGCCTTTGTCCCTTGACTGAACTTTCAGCCCATTTTTTGGTGGACGCGCCATTGTCCAACGTGCTGAGAAGAGCCACCTTGGGAGCCCATGTTCTGGCAAAGTGTGAAACTTCGGCCGTGTGGTTTGGACCCCATTTCACTTGCGCAAGCAGACCAAAGGGAGTCTCACAGACATTTGATGCCAGGGTGCTGTTAATCATTTTGGACCGCGTTGTGGGAGACTGTTCTTGACGCAGTGGCGCCCGGGACCCTATTCACCACGCTGAGGCTCATGGCATTTCATGTTCTTGGACCCGGCATCCAGCAAAAACCCTTTCCCAAAGTAAGTACAAGCCTAAGTTTGTTTGTTTCCGCGTTGCCATCCCAACATGGCAAAACACAAAGATCTTGACTGGACTTCAGCTCCAGTGGTTTTTTTCCTGGCACAACAAGGGCCAAAGCCATCCCAAACCGAGGTTTTGGAGAGATTGGCCATTTCCTCCAAAAACACGGCATTTTTCACACATCGTCTCCAATTGAACCGAATGGTCGCCTGTTCGGCCCGGGGGAGTCGAGTGAGGTTCCAGGACCCCAGCGGTCTTTGTTGGCCAAGGCAGGTTTCGTTGCGCCGGTTTCGGGGGGATGAGAAGCTCCAAAAAGAGACCAGGGGGGAGCTCAGCGGGCTCCATGCAGAAGTAGGCTGTGACATGTTTCTACAAGAGTCCAAGAGTTTCTTAGGATTCATATGATTTTTGTTGGGGCTGTATGTAATGATAATTAGTTGCAATACTTGGAGGTGGAGATTGCGATGCCAGCGTCCAACTCCAGGGTTGCATCTGGGTGGGCTCTTTTGACTTGCTTTTTGATGTTTTTTCAGTACAGGAGGATCGGGCAGGGTGGGGTCCTCCAGGAAACTCCAATAACGGGGCTGAACTTATAGAGGGATGACAGTTACTTGGTAAGAGATGGTAAGAGTGGGTGAACATGTAATATTGTAAGAGGGCACCCTCTTTTTTGAGAACCTCATCCACCACTGGATTGCTCACTGATCCGTTGGAAGCAGCTGGTGGATGCAGTATCATGCTTAAAATATCTTAAAATACATACTCATTGGGCTATGCCGCTCCAGGATCCCACGCGCCGCACGGCCCGTGCGGCCGACGGCGCGGCCGCGGTCACCGAAGTGGCGGCATCCGCGATCGCGCGCCGGGGGACCCAATGTGAGTAGAGCAGGGAGTGGCACTGAGGTGGAGCAATTCTTCCGTGTGTTTCATTGTGTTTCATTTGTTTTGCTACTTTGGTTGGACCACAGACTTTTGAGTGTTACTTGCTTTGGGTGTTTGTTTCTGGTTTTATTCAACTTTGTGATGAATATAAATATATATGTGTTGTTTTCCCTCGGTGTGCTGAACCGTGTTCAAACCACCAACCAGTATAGGTGGAATCAAACGAAATCTGAGGGATATGTCACTGGCCCCTTGCTTTCCTCTTGGGTAGCTGAGCACCAAGATAAGGGAGCTTCCAATCTGACAGGCGTGTCCAAACCTGTGTCCAAACCTGTGTCCAGCACTCCCCAGTCACCAGTGTAGAAAAACACGAGTTATTTAGGTCTATTTTACTTTCTTGGAGCCCACTCACTATGGTTTTAACATGTTTTAAGGTCTCATGACTTTTGGACTATGTAAAATGTTGCCAGTGGGTCGATCCTTTTCAAGTTCTCGGAAGGGTACTAGTTATCAGATAGACACCTGATCACATTCCAGTGAAGGATGGAGATAAACGAAATGATCTTCATCCCTAAAAATCGTCCCATAGATTTGGAGCTTAGAATAGGTCAGATCTGCGCGCGCAAACAGTAACACCTCAGCACGTCCCGGGACCACCCAGATAACCCTTCCGTTTTGCTACTTGGTCCACCTCGTCACAGCCGGACCACGCTGCACTGCGAAACATCAGCGAGGCAACATCAGCGAAAGCGAGTTCTGGAAACTCGTCAGGGATGACCAGGTCACCGAGGTGCAGGAAAGAGGACCGAGGAAGAACCGACAGCAATCAGCAGTGGTGAGATGACCTCAAGAATAACGAAAAAACAACAGAGGCAGAAGCATCAAGACGATGTGAACAATGAGGAATTCTCCATTTATAGGTTGGTTTTGGGGCAATGTACGCCGATGTATACCTCCAGGATCTACCACAAAGAACGATGTGGAACATAAATTGTATGTTGTTTGGCGGTTGAGTTTAAAATCCTTCCATTGGGGGCGACCCAATGCGTGTCGTTGTGTATGGCTGGTTGCTGCGGGAGGATCTTACATTTTGCAGCTATTGAGCTCAATTCAGATCTGGCATGCAAGTGGCAGGATGACCAGTACAGAATGGAGACGTACCCAGGTATCGCAGAGGGAAGAACCTTATCAGCAGGTTCCATGAAGCTTTGTGGTCTCCAAACGCCTTGATCCTTTCAGTGACCACTAGAGGCTTTGGGGTATGACCAGCTGGTGGCAAGGACCGTATACTGGGTGATTTAGTGAACACATGTGGACACCTGATTTTTCCATTACCCGACCTATTTGGTCTCAAGAAACGTAAGTTTTGGCTTCATACGTGTCTCTTCCACCAGCCACCTTTTCCCGCAGGTGATCATTGCGTCCTGGAGTGGCAAGCAGTTGCTAGCCAAGGCAGAAGGCCGACCAGTCGGCCTGACCTCTTCTCGGCCCGGCACCCGTCATGTCAAGGGCGTTCCAAGAAGTTCCAGAAGACCTCTCAGGTGGAGGATTTGGTCTTTAATGTTTTTTTAGATAAATTCAGATAAAACTCGTCCAATAGGGCTGAGTCTTGGGGCTGTCCACTTGTTTTGTGGGACCCTTCACTAGGTCAAGCGATCAGACGGATTTCTGTCTCATGATTTTTATAGCATGTTTTCAGCTAGAATCACGCAAACGATCTGGCTGCTCATGGGAGGTGCTGATTAGGTGTGGGAATGTTTGAACTTCAAGCAAGCTTGTAGGTCCAAAGATGTTTTGATTCAAGGATGGCATCAGAGACATTTTGTTTTTTCCTGGAACACAGAGCTACATGTTAGGAGGAACTGGTCACTGGTCATGGCTGCTAAAGC